AATCCTCAGAGTCATCCATGAAAAAGAGAGTCCTGAGGTTCGTGGGGTTCTTGGATATATTCAGGTGAGTGGAGGGGAGAAACAGGATTGGGGGCTGCCAGCCATTTCAATAACAGTGGGAATTATTAGCATCTAAGTTTAAAGGTCTACATCATTCCAAACACCCTGCATGACAGGCCGACGGGAAGAAATCCAACCCCACAGTGGCTCCATAGCAACTCTTTAGCATAGTTGGTAGTGAGGCTGTTTCAGGGAAGAAATGTCCACTCAAGTGAATCAATGATGCTTCTCTGAGCTACAAGAAACAGTGTATTGGGCCCAGGTTTCTCTGAGTTCAGTGTGATGGTTACACTCAGCTGCTGCTCCAGTGAGTTTAAATGGGTATGTGGCAATTCAGATACACCTGGCTGTGGGGTTTATTAGATGTAAATCTGAACTACATAAACAAAGAGGGCATGTCTGACCGTATGAGGGTGCAAAATCCTGGAGATCCCACACCCCACACTGTTGTGGTTTTTTGCTCCAGTGACCTCCAGGTTTTTTGTGTGAGAATTGTAATAGATTATTTCATGGCTAAGTCATCAAGAGACATAAACTGTGAGAAATACACACAGAAACTGCTCCAGATAGAAGATCCAGGGGAAGGACCTTTCTAGCACCTTATCTATGTAAGGGAAGGCAGTCCATCTCCATTACAGACCCCTCACAGCAGGCTTCCTTTATCATGAAAATGGGTTAAATTAGCCAATAGGGTAAGAATCCTATAATGTTCCAGCCGGAAAAGGGAAAGCATCAGTTTGACCTCTGGAGACTGTGTATAGGACACCTTCCAGAGAAAGAAGAGCACTAAATTATTAAGATTCATTTGTAACTTCATATGATACTTCCGGGATGCACAAATTAAAGATGAAGGTGTGGCAATGCACAGGCTCTATCAGAGAAGGAGAACAGGGGAACTGAAAGAAATTGGCAGAGAGTAGGACAAGGACAGAAGAGCGATATGAAGCCTCTGACATCAACTCTGTAAAGACAACTCCCGTATTGACCGCCGATTCTGTTACCATGGGCCATTTGCAGGGTTCCTAGCTAAGGAAAAAGAAAAAAAAAAAAAAAACTGCATGCCCTTCCCAAGTCTCCACTTGTATCCTGTTTGTCTTAGCTCTCTAGGACAAAAACATGGCATAAACCTAGACCTAGTGTCAGTGCAGGAGGCACTTTCTACAGGCTAGACACTGGGAAGAAGGAAAAATGTGTGTTATTGGAATAGGAGATACAGAGATGGCTTTCATCTGAATAGATCTACACCCGCAGGTATTCTCAGATGCAACGTTCAACTACAAGAGCCTAATGAAGAAACACGACCCTGCCCAAACCCCTACAAGTTCTTGTATTCACTGTGTCTCCACTGATTTAGTGCATCCGGAGCTTCAGAGAACTGGCTCCCTCCTGTGTCCTAGAATCTTTTCTTTGGGTCTTTCTGCAGAATTCAATAGGTTTAGTTAGGCCAATCAACTGTTTCAAGAGATGGTGTTGGCGGCATATATTGTCGCTGAAAGAGTATTCTAAGCCAGGACACAGCCACTTCATGCTGGACTAAAGACTCTAGGGAAAATGTTTTGTGAGCCCTGACAGAAACCTCCTTGCAATGTAAGGGCTGGGCAGGAGGGGGCACTCAGGAGCCACGCAGCACAGGGTCCAGCCCCAGAACAGAAGGCTGGGGAGGAGGTTTCCTCTCAAGGTCTCGGTTTTCCTTCGTCAGAAAAAAAGGAAAATCTAAAATAACTGTCCGACGAGTTGCTGATATGCCTTCAAATATCCTGCTACAATGGAACAATTCATGTAACTTAAGGCAGTGATAACCATTTTTTAAATTGGACTTCTAGATTATAAATATCTTCATAGTGAGAATATGAAGAATAGGCATGATTTTACTAATTCAATGGATACAGAATTGCAGGAGTCACTATATTCCTATGAACAAAAAATTCAGATTTCAGTGTTAAGTAATGTTGCCTACATTGTGTGAGTGACAGGGCAGTGGTAGATCTGAGAGTGTGGGAGGTGCACAAACGTAAGGAGTCAGAAATCAATATGGAAAGATCAGGATCTCTGGATACGAACTGAAAGGCTAAATACTTCACAAAATACTAATAAACAGAGATGAAAATAAAATCCATAATTATCCAAAACGCAAATTCCTTGGAAGTTATTTTGGGAGCATGAGTTCATAAAGAGCTCCAAACTCCTGTTTCAACTTCTGACTCCTCGTGTCCATCACATAAGAAAATCATCTCCAATTATGCACCTCAGGGCAATTCTGTAAACCCAGAGTGTTTCTGCTGAAGATCCTGGGGAATCAAGACACCAGGCAGGTGATGGAGACACTGTCTCAGGAGCGCCCAGGGGATCTCAGGGGAACCTGCTGGAGAGTCACATGGAACATCCACAGTCAGTTTCTCAGAGTCAACAGTGAGCTGTGCTGGTGCCTGAGGGGACCATGATGGGGCCAAGGCACGTGCTCAGTGTCATGGACAGTTATAGTCCAGAAATGATCAGATGGTCTTGATGCTAATGAAATATGGGATCAGAGTGAGGAGCGTAATCTGTGGGGACTTGTTCTTCAGTGAAAGGATCCTGTCCATGAATAGCAGTGGAGCAGGGCATGCATTTTCTCAAGCAGCATTAGGGCTTGGACCATCAGCATCCCACTCCTGTGTGGCAGATGGGTCATCTATCTTCTCTTTCTCATCCTTGATCAGGCTTTGAAGTATGAAATAATCTGTCTCATGAATATGCAAATAACCTTAGCTCTACTGAGGTAAATATGGATATATCTGGGCCCTGAAAGCATTGCCCAATAGCCTCATCCCTTCTCTACAGAAGCCCCTGAGAGAAAAGCTCTTCACCATGGACTGGACCTGGAGGGTCTTCTGCTTGCTGGCAGTAGCTCCAGGTAAAGGATCAACTAGTTCCAGGGCTCAGGAGGGGATATTTTTTTCCAGTTTAGGGGACTGTCATTCTCTACTGTGTCCTCTCCGCAGGTGCCCACTCCCAGGAACAGCTGGTGCAGTCTGGGGCTGAGGTGAAGAAGCCTGGGGCCTCAGTGAAGGTCTCCTGCAAAGCTTCTGGATACATTTTCACCGGTTATATTATCAGCTGGCTGCGACAGGCCCCTGGACAAGGGTTTGAGTGGATGGGAGGAATCCACCCTGGTTATGGTAGCACAAGCTACGCACAGAAGTTCCAGGGCAGAGTCACCATGACCGGGGACACGTCCACAAGCACAGTCTACATGGAACTGAGCAGTCTGAGATCTGAGGACACGGCCATGTATTACTGTGCGGCAGACACAGTGTGAAAACCACATCCTCAGAGTGGTTTTCAGAAACCCTGAGGGAGGACTCAGCTGTGCTGGGCTGAGGAAATGTCAGGGGTTGTTCAGTTTAAGACTGTTTAGAAAATGGGTTATATATTTGAGAACAATAGAAACACAGTCTAACTGTAAGAGAAATATTATATTCAAGAGCCACCATATAAGCCAAACTGACAGAGTGGGAAAGGCCACACTCAACAAAGTTGATGCACGCATTCCACGAAGGTGCTACTGTGAACAATTCAAATTAGATGCATAAATAATTTGGAGCAAGGTTATTTGATCATGTGTTAAGGGTAAGTATGATTCTTAAAAAGAGGCAAAATTGTCTTTCAAATGTTTCTGTCACTCCTTACCATAAATTTTATTTTAGAGCAGTTTTAGGATTGCAAAGA